ACACTTACGTCGATGGTGTTACTGAACTCTTAAACGAAGGCCTATACAATCCGATCCCTAAAGATCCTTCACCTTCGTACCTTGTCCAAAAATAAAAACTGCGATCAAATCTTCGCAAATCATTTCAAGCAACTTAAAACATTCGCTTATCCCATTTGTTGCGAATTGTGCCAGATTATATGCTCTTCCCAAAATTCATAAAAGTGGTATTCCTTTCCGCCCTATTGTATCAAATTTAGGTACTGCCTCGTATCCCTTTAGCTAAATATTTAGTTTCTAGATTTTCCACTCTATTAGACAATAACATTTACACCATAAAAAATTCAATAGAGCGTTTGTAAAAAAAGGTTAAAAACATTTCTCCTAGTAATTTACTCATGGTTTCTTTTGATGTAAAATCATTATTCACCAATGTTCCCAGTGGAGGGTGCATTAAGATGTCTAGAAACCAGACTTCGCGAATTTCATTTCTCTTGCATCGAAATTGATGAGCTAATTTCTCTCACTCAACTCTGTTTGAAAACAACACATTTTGTTTTCCAAAATAAATATTACAAGCAAACTGAGGGATTAGCCATGGGAAGCCCCCTCAGTCCCATCCTGGCTGATATCTACATGCATTATTATGAATCAAAATTGTTTTGAAACTTTAAACTTCCCGGCATGGTTCCGCTACGTAGACGATACTTTTACCCTGTTTGAAGGTAATAAAGATGATTTAAATAAAGTTCTTTCAACAATGAATTCTATTGATCCTGCTATTCAGTTCACTTTTGAACTTGAGACTTGCAATTCTCTTCCGTTTCTCGTAACACATTCTGGTCACACGTAACACATCCAACTTCAGTACTACCTGTTTACCGTTCATCGGTTTGCCTTCCACCACACTTTAAATCATGTCATCCCGACTAAACAAAAGTTAGCTTCATTTTATTCCTATTTTTTTCCGTGCTCTTCAAGTTTGCTCCTCCAAACTAGCCCTTGATGAAGAACTAAATTATTTAAAAGCAATAGCTATTGACAGAAGATTTTCACCCAACATTATTAATTAAGCAGTTAAAAAATTCTCATCTCAACACACTAAAAGGCACACTCTTGTTTTAGGAGATTATAAAAATTCTGTTGTCATTCCCTTCTTTCCATCAATTAGCTATAAAGTTGCACATATTTTGCAGAAATTTAACTTTCGGGTTGTTTATTCTCCCATCAATAAAATTCCAAGTTCCATACTCAAGGACCCCATTCCGGATATGAATTCCTGGGGTATTTATAGGATTCCTTGCCAGTGTGGTTTAATTTACATTGGCCAAACTAAGAGAGCCTTAAAATTTCGCGTCAAGGAACATGAGGCATATGTTAGAAAAAAGGAAACACAGAAGTCTTCTGTTGCTCAACATTGTTGGTCCGAAAATCACACTTTCAATTTTTCTGCTGCCAAAATTATTCAAAAAACATCTTCCATTGGAGAACTGGATTTTCTAGAGGCATTTCACATTCAAAAAAATCTTTCTGTTCTAGTTAACGATCCTAATTCCAATCCATCTTTGCCTTCAGCCTTTAAAGAAATTATTTTTTAGGTCTGGTTTCATCAACAGATGGTGCCAGTAGCTTATCTCCTGTCGAGGCTTTCTTGTCTTATCTTATGATTACATCTTATCTTGTTCATTTGCGCTTTTGCAGCTGTGGATGATGGTTCGGTAAAACCATCGGAACTAGTCCTGTGAAAGTTTGAAAATATAAACGCTGATTTTTGTTGTTTGAATTCTAAATTAATAACGTATATTCAATGAAAGCATTATCGGCTCCCTGTTATTGCAACAGCAATTTGCAAAAGTCAGCGCGCCGCTGAATGTCATCTGGATGTAGACCTTGGAACGTTGTATAGCGAAATGGGTACAGTCCCACTTACTGTAACAACTTGTGAACAGTACTGCCACGCGCATTCTCCTCCCTGGCCTAGTGTGCGTGTTTTCACCTAGGGAGATTCTTCAATACTCAGAAATATTTCATCTTCCTGTGCTGACGTAAGTGCGCTGCGTGTTCTTTCACCAACATCGTGGAGACTATATGTCAGGTGAACGCTTCCAGCATTTCTCAATCTGTTGTCCAGCCTGTGTATGACTTTGACATCTGAAGGACGGCGTGAAGTATATAATCTGGCATACTTTCTAGCATTTCTTAAAGCATTACCCTTACATTGACCGAAGATGAAGAATATGTTGCAATATTCACAAACGGAATACATTATCACCATGCAAAGATTACCGTTATTGCAGACTTATTCTGGGTCTCTACAGCCTAAGCATTACTTCTTAGAACAATTACAAAATTCCTTTGAAGCCTTAGAATGAATGGTACATGAAATAAGTCCTTCGTAGGAGCTCCTGAATGGTGAAAAGAAGAGAATTAAGTTCTAACTGTTTTCATTATTATCTCCGTGCTTCTAAACGGCCAATGATTCAAAACTTCACAGATTCTTTCAAATGACAAACCGTTTCGACTCCTTACACTCTGAAATCAAACACTTTATTGTAGAAATTCACTCTGATATTCACTTTGCGCAAAATGTTTGGTTCACTGTCAGATGACATAACGCCTGTGCATATCAGAAATCGTTTGATAACATTTGATTGGATAACGCTAATTAGGTTTGTCTTTCACAAATCTCTCATTAGAAACATTTTGAAAAGTACTAACAACAAATCACATCGGAGAGATTTTGTGTGAAACGAAAGCTCAAAAAGCAGCCTAAAAATAGTCAAACGGTGCTTAAATGACAACGGGAAGATAAAATAAGATATGTCCTAAAGATGAAGACCCGATTGTTTTATAGAATGGGATGCCTTATACAAACGACAACATTTTCCTCGTTATTTTCTACTTATGGCCATTCACTCTGCTTTATCAAATACAGTAAATTTAATTACGTTTTTGTTTATTTTATTTGTTTAATACCATGTTTATCTTTTTTCATATTTAATCATTTCTATTGATTATAAACTTGTGCACAGTGTACTGTTGTAAAATTTAGACAAGCAGTTATCTGTTGTCCGATAACACTGATTGCAATGGGGAAAATTATTCCGGTTTACGAACATTTCAGTTAATGAACGACTTTCAGGAATGAATAAAGTTCATGAACCGATGTTTCATTGTAGAAGAAAAAGCATCATATTGTAAATAGGAAAAATGTAGGATTATGATGATCTTTTCAATAGTTTGAAACAAGCATGGCGACAGATACCGCGATGAATTTTAAAAAGATATATAAGTACATACACAGCATTTTTCCCCCAGCATTTCCAGAAAACGTAAGAGATTACGGCGTGTCATGTGATTCAGAAGAGAAAATGTCCACGTCCTGTTTTAGAATTATTAACCTATTAATGTGGAGTTATTAATAATTATTACTTCGAATTATTATTCTTCTAAATAAATAATACAACTACTGTTTTTACAAACAATTTAAAAGCATTGTTGTTCGTGCAAAGTTGAAATATTTGTAAGACTTCCCAAACGTGGAATTCAAATTTAACGTAATTGCGACGCCTTTCAGCAAAAGTGAAGGAAATCAACAGTAGGTACGATTCTTGAATTCAAATTGCACAACTAGTAGTTTGAAACGTTTTGCAAAAATGGTTAAAATTCTTTCCACAGAAATTGTAAATTTTGTACTGCCTGCATGATCTTGTGAGAAAGCAAAACAAGGCTTCTTCATTATAGGTGAGGCTATTTTGTCTATAGCCATGATGCTATTTGTATGTGACACATGGTGATCGCCTACGCTGTTGCATGAAATACTGGGAAAAATTCATGTCTACATGATCAGTACTCTTAAATTTTACTGCGTTTTGTAAAAATAGATTATTAAAACTCTGTGAGACTTTTGTAATAATCTTGTATAAAAATCAAAATATTGAAATTTTTTGTTTTAGACTTATTAAAGAATAATGAATATTCTACTCCCTTACTTGAAATTCTTCACAAATTAATTGCCGACTACTCACCATAACAGCATAATATTATCTCATATCTTTTGATGGTTTGGTGCTCTATATTGTCGTACCAATTCTAAAAGATAGCATTTTGATATGCAAATATTATTTCTCTTAATATGGACTGTATGGTGTTTGCATTGCCTATAACTGCTATTGTAGGTTTCATCTAACATCATTTGATTAATTACCTTTTGTACCGAGGATTGCTCAGATACGTTTACCATACTAACCAGACATTTTTTCCTCTATTTTATAGCCTGTTCGTTGCACAAAGATTTCCCCTGAAAATATTCTCCTATCTTATAGTGGAGGAACTGTTGTTTTGCAATATAAGAATTATTATTATGCTTTAAAAGATACGAAGCACGAGATATATCTGAAAATACTAAAATTAAACGAGAAATATAGTAGAAACTGTTGAATTTAAAAAACAACCCCCTGTTATCTTCTATCATAATAATAACACCTAACTGGAAATAAACGTAATATCACAATGACCACTTACCCAATAACAGTATTCGCCATGCCGCTTCCAGTTATTACCATAAGGGCAACCAAGGGGTTTTAATGCAGTTGTAGTCTGAACAGGAGCTGGAGTAGTAACCTTTACTGCGTCCATTTCGCACAAAAAATTGTGTGTTTCGCTGCAGTTGCTCTTGATCCAAGAATATAGTGTAGGATGAAAAGTTTCTGACAAGAGACCCATGCACTCCATGTCTATATTGAAGTAAGAAGAATCATGTTGGAATAATTTTTTAACAAATGTATTATGATTTGGCAGCATGCAAAACATTTAATCTTCTGTGTCTTAAATTTCAATAATAATCAATAATTCGAAATTTTCTTTAAGCTACATTCCACAAATTTCGCATTAAAAGTAGGCATTAAACTATATTCCACAAATTTCATATTAAAATTAGACATTAAAATATAGTATTGAAATTTAATATTAACTTTTCTTCATAAGCTGAGGATTTGTAGCTCGAAATGTTCTATTTATCAAGCTTGCTTCTTGAACCGAATTTGTGATGCTGGGATTTTTTTTACCTTTCTTTCTCGATAATAGAAGTCAAATACCACAGTAAAGGAGATTATTTCCCCAAATCTCCCAGAATATAGAATTCTTAGATGTGAAATAGTGTACACTATCGAGTATAATAATTTAATCTCATAATAAAATAATTTCCCTTTTGCTTTTAGTAATATTTGTATTTTCAACTGTAAAAATAACTGTAATTTATATTGAAAATGTGATTTATAACTATATATGACATCAAGCGAAGCTTAACTGTAAAATATTAGTTGCAGTTTGTTTAAAAAATATTTTTAAAGTAACATAATTCTTTAAAATATCTTTGATTGTTTGATTGATCTTTGATGTAACTTTGATTGATCCATCTCATTAATATTTTCATGCAATATTTTAGCTATTAAAATTAACTGCTTCTTAATATAAGGAAATATTTTATTAATTATAATATTTTATTAATCAATTAACGGGTCAGACCTTAAGTTAAAAATCATTTCGCTAGTAGTAATAATTAATTAGGGTCATATTTCTGAGAGTTAATTTAAATCATTAACTCTGAGATATTTGGATTTGCAAGGCAGCAAGCATAAATAATATTACAGCACTCGAGCACTTATTTGCTAATATAGAAAAGTTCACACAACTAAGTTTAACGATAAGAATTAAGTTGAAGTATTACATACTTAAATAAGCCCTAATGAATATTTTAAATTAAAAGATGTGAAACTGCGTCCACTGAAAATATAGCGTATTACTACAAATAATTAAAATAAACAAAAGAAAGGTCTCATAAATTTTAGAAAAGGGCAAGAGATTGCCAGAAATAAAAATGCAAAGAAAAATTAAGCATAAAAGATTAATAATTATAGAATTTAAATAATTTAATGCAGGAAGTTAAAAAGTAGAGAAATTAAAATAATTTAAAATATAACGTTAAAAAGTAGAAAAAAGAAAAGATAATGGGTTTCATTAAAAGCATAAATTCCTTTTCTGATTTGAACTCGAATATATGAAAATACCTTTTTTATTCCCAATACTACATAAGAGACATAATGTCGATTTTTAGTATGGTTCAGAATCCTTTAGAAATAAATGCATTGTTTTCCAAGCTGAGTTACTGTGCAGTAGTGAATCAATTAAGTGGATATCTAATCATTTTTGTTTACGTTAAAAATTCCTTATTTACACTAATCATCATTTATCCTTATATTTTCTTATGAATAGTTTCTTCAGTAGTAACGTTAAAAAGTAGATAACGTTTCATAATCACTTTTTATGCAATTCTTTAAAATCTTAATAATAAACTTGATGATGTTATTTTCTTCCATTTAGGTGGCCATAGCGGCAGTCTGTTAAATGAAAGGACTGGGTGATTCACAAAGCGAGCTACAAATCTTCAGGTTAACATTACAATGACACTGCTTAATACTCGGTTTCTTCAAGAAACCGAGTTAGAGTAAATAATTCTCAAGTGGAAGGAATTATACAGAAATTTTCTACTGCCTTTATTTATTTTTAGAAATTTATTCTACTGCCTTTCTGACTAAATTATTTTTTCTATATATTCCTCGCAACTCAATAATAATGTTACGAAATATTAAGGCGCGGTAAGGTAGCTTTCCCGCAAAGCAGTTTTAGGGTTGCCAGAAAATGGCAAGGGAAGGCAGGGTTGCCACATTTGGTGACAAAATCGGCAATATGCCATAGATGGATGGAGAAACTTCTGGAACGAATTTTTACCGGTTTAGCCCAGAATGTTCTCGAACACAAGCCAAAAGCTATACAAATCCTGATGGTATGCGGAGAGTTAGTGTGTTTCGTCAGTTAGTTAGACCGTGCAGGGTCTATCGAGTTGATAGTCAGTGAGTGCCGAGTCCCGAGTCAGTCGTCAAGTGCACCGAAAGAGTCTCTTAGTGTATCGCGGTTAGGCATTGTCGAGAGAGTATGTTGAGCTCCGGGAACGACTGAACCGAGGAATCGGGAGCTGTACTATAGTATACCGTCGAGTGCATCGCAAGTTGTAGTGTGGAGAGTCTCGAGAGTACGTGGAGTTCCAAGAACGACCGAGCAGAGTCGGGAGCTGTACTTTGGTGCTTTGTCGTTAAGCTGTCTTCACCGTATAGCCTGATTGCCTGAAGGCTATATTGCTGATTGTTACAGCCTGTCTGTAGTAGTTCTTCGACGACTGTATAAACGTGATTTTGGAGTTTGTCCTATTGGCCAAAAGTGTGTTTCGATACTTTAATCAAGTGCTGTTGTCGTTATTCACTCCAAATCGCATGAAACCGTAACGTACGAAACGTAAAGGAAGAGAAAATTACGTAACAATACACAAATTTAAACCCAAAGGAGTTTTAGCACAGAAGGGCTACTCTCCAAAACGGAATTTTGCGTTGAATCACTGTAAAAGGCTGAATCACTTTTCAAATTGTTGCCACCAAACATTATCGCTCTGTGTTATTTTAAAAGAAATTAAAGGATAATGAATGTAGGTATGTTTCTCGCATTGCGAAAAATGACGGTACCTAGAGCCTTCAGATTTCAATAACGTTATCCTCCCCCCCCGAACACGGGCACCTGGAAGCCCGAATTTTGAATTCTGAATTGTTTCTTTAAGTATTTAACATTTTATAAAACTTTACCGAACTTTTACCAAATTTATGATTAACAAACTCAATGATTTCAAGGCGAGCAATGACAACACTGTACAGAAAAAAAAAAAAAAAAAATCTCCAGCGCGCAAGACTGTCTATCGAAAATTCTAAGATACGCTATTTTTAAATATTTGTGATTTCGCTGTTGAATCGAATTCTATATGGTTTAAGTGAAAACAATATGATATTTAATAAATAAAAGTAACACACAAAACGTTAAAAGCTCCTTTGGGCGTGTTACAGTTTATGTAGCTGGCCACGAGAGGGCGCAGCGTTTTTACTTTTAGCTTGTTATATTTTCTTACTGCATGATTATTGTTTTTTTTGAGATAGATGTAGTGGCAACCAGAAAAACATGATGAATGTTCTAATGTAAGCATACAATTCTTGTACATAGATGTAAATAAAGCTTCTATGTGATAAAAATGAAAAGGAATTCCAAGCGTTCCTGTGGATATTCCATCAAGGAAAGGTAAGCAAAATTTCACTTATTGATGTTGTTAAAATGTAAATAAGTAAGAATAAGAAAAAAGATCATAAGTTGCAACATGGTGCCGAAATTACGAGATAACAGTGATCTTTAGATATATTGTGATTTATGTATTTATTATTGTTCGATTAGTAATTGAATATTGATTATTAAGATGTATAAGTTAAAAGCACTAAAAAGGAAGCGAGGAATGTTAAGAGCATCAGTAACAAGACTGGTAGCTAAAATAAAAAAGGAAATATAATCGGATAATATTAAATTTGATTTATTAGAAGATGATTTATCCATCTTAAATGAAAATGAAAACGATATACTAATATTGAGCTCTGAAATCGAATCTATCCTAACAGATGAAAAAGAGTATGAAACTGAAATACAGGATAGCTTGGAATATAAAAATAAAATTACCTTGTGTAAATCGAAGATCAGCAGAATATTTAGAAATAGAAAATGTGTTAAATTAAATGAGTTGCCATCTAATTCTGCTACTATAGATACGGTAGAGAACATAAATACAAATGGCGCTAAACTTCCGAAACTAACCATAAATAAATATTAAAGGCGAAATATGTGAATTTCAAAGTTTTTGGGCTCAATACGAATCTGCTATACATAATAACTCTGCTTTTAAAGGATGTAGACAAATTTAATTACCTCACATTTTTACTAACGGACACAGCTTTAATGTCAATAAAGGGATTACCGTTAGTTGCCGAAAATTATGCTAAGCAAAAATATTCTGAAAGAAAGGTTTGGTAGAAAGGACATTTTAATAAATGCACATATGAATCGTCTGCTGAATTTAAAGCCAGTTAAAAAAAATGGCTGATATTAAAACATTACGTAACTTATACGAAAGCTTAGAAATGAATTAGAAGCCTTGATTCCCTTAACGTTACTTCAAATTCTACAGCTATTTATTATGCCCACTGTTAATGAGGATACTTCCTAGCGAATTGGTTTTAGAGTTTAATCGATCTTTAACCCGTGACACAGAAACCACAGTGACTAACATTTTGGAATTTCTGAAGAAGGAAGTTGAAAGCAGAGAGCGTACGTTTTTCCAAACATCGCCAAACTATTCCGAGTTTAACATTAGAACCGAACAACATAAATATCAATCGCGAGACCTTATTAAAAGTGAGAAATATCATACTGCCTTCAAAAACAAACATTTTGTTCCAGCAGTTGCGTCGTTGAATACGAATACATCAACAGCCGATTGTATATTTTGTGGGAAGATAGAAAATGAATCTTTGAAACATTCTACTTCAATTGCGCAATCCAACTGAGGAAAAAGAAAAAAAATTAAAATTGGCTAACGGATGCTATTTATGCTTTCGTAAGTCTCATACATCTGCCCGTTGCAGCTCGGATATACGCTGTGATTTATGTTCATTAAGGCATAATACTATTTTACATGATAATAAATTTGAAAATAAACGGGAAAATAAAGGTGAGCTTAAAACAGACACAGTGGTGGCATCAATTTCGGAAAGAGATAACAAAAATAGGGTTTATTTACAAACTGCAAATGCAATAG